AGGGGGGGGGGGGGGGGGGATTAATTTATTTTAAAAAATCTCAGAAAAAATGCACTATTGTACCTAGTATGTAGTATTTTAGTTTAATTGATGTATATTTATTATATCTTTAATTGTGTATAGTTCCTTAAGAAAAAGTGATTACAAAAAAAAGACTAATGAAAAATGGACTGTTGTACACATTAATGTCGATATGGTATTTTAATTTTTTATTCATGTATTTTATATTGTGCTGTAGTATTGTGTTGCTAGCTTAGCAACATCCTAACATGACTGATATCCTGTATTGGAATCAGTCGTTGGTTTGTTGGTCTATTTGCAGGTTTTAGTAGGGACCAGTTTAGGCTGGTTTAAACAGTTTTTCAGCATAGCTGTAAGTCTCTGTTGAAGACTGCAATTTGTGTGCAGTATGCAGTTGCAGTCTATCTAGAGCAGGGGTGCCCAACCCTGCTCCTGGCGATCAACTGTCCTGTAAAGTTCAGCTCTAACCCTAATCAAACACACCTGATGCAACTAATTAGGGTCTTCAGCATCACTTAAAAATTAAAGGCAGGTGTCTTTGATTAGGGTTGGAGCTAAACTTTGCAGGACAGTCGATCGCCAGGAGCAGGGTTGGGCACCCCTGATCTAGCGCATTCCTAATCAGTCTGTTTCATTACGGGTGCTTCCTTTGTAGGCGGCAGACATGAAGCCTGCTCGCTAGGCTGTGAGACAGAGAGTTGCACAATCTATGTTAGTTGCTGAAGAAGATTTGATGCTTATTATTCAAATAAACAACATGAATATGTTCCTGTTCCTGGCTTTCTGACAGCATGCTTGCCAATCCCAGAATTAATAAAGAAATAAAGTTCAGAGAATTAAAGTGATATTGTCTGGCAGAGCATCATCCAATAGAGGTGCAGTTTCTTCATAATGTAATGCTCTTCTGATGTTTTCACAGACTCACCGCACCTGTCGTGTCTGTGTGTGTTTGCATCATGGCAGGTGTTACACGTTCGGGATAGGCCAGGGGGCGTGCAGAAGGCTGGTTTTAGGACTGGCCGCTGTTTCCAGAGGCACAGCTGAGTTCCTGGCAGAAGGAGAACGACTGCAGCCCAAGGTCCTCATTTCCTATGACATATTTATCTTCCAACAGCCTGCTATTTTGAAAATCACCGCAAAGCAATTACAGCAGCCACGTAAATTGTGGAGTGTCCAAATGTATTAGCAATTAACAAATGGTTTTGTTTAGTCAAACATGAGTTAGGATAATAATCATAGCTGACATGCCTTCTCTCCCTGGTGTTTAATACTAGCATCTATATTTCCCTGTTTTATTCTATAGACTGTGCTCTCTTGATTGAAACACTAGGTAGTGTTTGACCTGGCGGTTATTTGTGTCTTTGGCAGATGATTAAGTCACTGAAGAAGTCCATGACATCAGTACTGACTGACATCTCCATTGAATGGCTGTATCCAGAGACAAAGGAGATCCTGCTCTCTCCAGTCGGGGCGACCTGTCTGTTCCCTGGTGACCGGCTGATTGGATACAGCGTGGTCTGTGATACCTCCAGATATCACTCCAACCCCAAATCAGTAAGTCATCCATCCATCCATCTACAATTATTATACTATATTTTTATATTATTAATATACAATAATATTAATATAGATAATTATAACTAGCAGTAGTAGTAGTGGTAGTAGTGTTATTGTCACGGCTGTGTCGAGGAAGGCACACGAGAACGATGATAGAATTAATATGTAGTTTAATAACATCCAAGATGAAGATAATCCACAGAGAATGAAGGGTAGACACACACCAACACAAACGTAATACCGGACAAAGAAACACTGAACAGAATGCAACTTATATGGAGAATGTAAATGAGGATAATTACTAGACACCTGAACATAATTACACAATCATCAGGAGACAGAAACTAGGTCACACAGAGCACATGGGAAATGAAAACAGTCCTGGGGTGTGACAGTTATAATAGCATTAGTATTATTTAGATAATGTTATTTTAAAATATACTGTATTTTGTTAATAATAATAATCAAAGTCAAAGTCTGCTTTATTGTCAATTCTGCCACATGTGCAGCACATATATACAGAGAATTGAATACATTAATAATAATGTATTATGATTTATAAATAAATAATAATCTATTTTAAATGTATAAATGTATTAATTAGTTATATGTAATGTTTTTGTTGTATTATTAATATTATTTAGATAGATAATGTTGTTATTTGAACTGTATTTTCATATAATATCAAATAAAAACAACAATAGTTAATCTGTAATTATTATACTGTTTTATACTATTTATATTAACAAAAATAAAAATGCTAATTAATATTATTGTGATAGTTACTGTTTTCACATTCACTGTATTTTAATATTACATCAAATATACACTTATTATTATTATTATTATTTAGAATATATGGTTATTATTACAAATATATTGTATTACGATGTATTAATTATTAGTTATGAATATGTAATATATATTAATATTATTTAGAAAGATAACATTGCTATTATTTGAAAATATGCAGGATTTTTTTATATAATATCAAATAAAAACAACAATGATTACGTCTTTAATTGTTTACATCTTTAATTAATTTCTGTACATTTCTGCCATATGTACATTAATTGACAGTCACCACTGATAAGCTACCACTAAATATTGTAGAAACTTAATTTGCTGTAAAGTTGCTTTGCAATGATTTGTATCGTGAAAAGCGCTATACAAATAAACTTGAATTGAATTAATCTGGAATTATTATACTATATTTCTATACTACTACTTGTAATAATAATAATAATAATAACAATAATAATAATAATAATAACAACAACTTTCTATACTACTACTTGTGATAATAATAATAATAATAATAACAATAATAATAATAATAATAACAACAACAACAACAACTATTATTATTATAGTTGCTGTTTTCACATTTACTGTATTTTATAATTACATCAAATATACACAAATTATTATTATTATTTACATAATATTGTTATTATTTGAAAATATATTGTATTTTGATGTATTACAATGTCATATATATATATATATATATATATATATACTAGTGCTGTCAAACGATTAATTGCAAGTAGTAGTAGTGGTAGTAGTGTTATTGTCACGGCTGTGTCGAGGAAGGCACACGAGAACGATGATAGAATTAATATGTAGTTTAATAACATCCAAGATGAAGATAATCCACAGAGAATGAAGGGTAGACACACACCAACACAAACGTAATACCGGACAAAGAAACACTGAACAGAATGCAACTTATATGGAGAATGTAAATGAGGATAATTACTAGACACCTGAACATAATTACACAATCATCAGGAGACAGAAACTAGGTCACACAGAGCACATGGGAAATGAAAACAGTCCTGGGGTGTGACAGTTATAATAGCATTAGTATTATTTAGATAATGTTATTTTAAAATATACTGTATTTTGTTAATAATAATAATCAAAGTCAAAGTCTGCTTTATTGTCAATTCTGCCACATGTGCAGCACATATATACAGAGAATTGAATACATTAATAATAATGTATTATGATTTATAAATAAATAATAATCTATTTTAAATGTATAAATGTATTAATTAGTTATATGTAATGTTTTTGTTGTATTATTAATATTATTTAGATAGATAATGTTGTTATTTGAACTGTATTTTCATATAATATCAAATAAAAACAACAATAGTTAATCTGTAATTATTATACTGTTTTATACTATTTATATTAACAAAAATAAAAATGCTAATTAATATTATTGTGATAGTTACTGTTTTCACATTCACTGTATTTTAATATTACATCAAATATACACTTATTATTATTATTATTATTTAGAATATATGGTTATTATTACAAATATATTGTATTACGATGTATTAATTATTAGTTATGAATATGTAATATATATTAATATTATTTGTGTGTGTGTACTGTATATGTATATATAAATACACACACATGCATGCATATATTTAAGAAACATATGCTATGTTTATATATTAAATATATATATATAATATAACTAAGGGGGTCTGAATACTTTCCGTACCCACTGTATATATACTAAAAACACAACAATGCTTAATCTGTAGTCATTATACTATATTTTTATAGTACTACTCTTTCAGAATTATTAAGAATAATAATTTTATTATTTACAGTCATCATCTGAAAATACTACATTTTGATATATTATAATATCACATATATGAAAATATAGGCTTTTGTATAATAAGTATTATATTTTTTTGTATATCATTTTTGTTAATGCAAATATAGATTTTAGAGCAAAACAAAAAGGTCTCAGACGTCTTTTCTCTGCTGTAACAGGACAAACGGAGGCGGTACAGCATGATGCGTTCCAACGAGTCGGCCAGTTCAGTGTTCTATCACTCTCAAGAGGAGGATGCTGGGAAGGTTTCTGACGGTCAGGGGCCGCACAGGGACAATCAAGTCGGCTCGCTGTTTGACGGTTGCCAGGAGACCATGTCCGAGAGCAGTCCTGTTGCCACGGAGCAAGACATTATGGGTAAAGTACAGATCTATACAGGGTAAACTTGTATTTAAAAAGTAGTCCATACAAGATACAGAATTTTCGTTTTTGGATTTTTCAACTATTCCTGATGTCTCCTGATGAAAGAGAGGTTTCTTCATGAAGTCAGCAAACATTAAGATAAATTGAGAGAAAAGTAAAGAGAAAATTAGACAAATTTTTTTTTTTTTTTACACAGGAACTGACATAGCCACCTCTCCGCGAAGACGTGCTTACAGCACCAATCAGATTGTAGATTACAACCCCATGAAGAAGGCCTACACCCCTAGTGACCCCAGCTCAGTGGTGGGCAAAAACCCTCTTAGAAGAGCAAAAGTTCAGGAACTCATAGGACAGACACATCCTGACCACGGAGCTCAGTGGAAAATGGACTACCAGGTTGGTAAACGCTAAACCATAAGGTTTGAAACGTGCAACACAAGTATGTGAATACAGAAGCTTTTTGCTATGTAGGATTTTGTGCATCACTGCATTGCAAAATGTGTCTGAAAATTGAACCTACTTTGAGCTTCAGACTGCGTTGAAATTTGAACATAATTTGAAGTTGTTAAACTACAGTACACTGCAAGCTACAGACAAAAAATAACTACTGCAAGTACATTGGAGCTACACAGATTATTATACTACCCCATTTAATCATAGCTGATGTTTACAGCGTGGGGTTTTGTACTAATGAACACTCAATACATAACTCAAAAACATTGGTGAATAATTTTTGTGAATCAGTTCATTAAAATGACTCTTCCAAACAAACAATTTGACTGGAATGAATCAGACTTTCCTGAGCTACATATGAAATAGGACCATTTAGGATGAACCGATTCACTAGAAAGAATCAGATTTCCCAACACTACATACTGTATAGTATGAAAGCGAAAGAACCATTTAGGATGAACTGATTCACAAGAATGAATCAGATTTCCCAACACTACGTACAGCATGAAAGCGAGAGAACTGTTTAAGATGAACCGAATCATTTGAATGAATCAGATTTCCCAACACTACGTACAGTATGCAAGACAAAGAACCATTTAAGATGAAGTGATTCACTAGAATGAATAATAGTGTAAGACATACAGGAGAGAGAACTGTTCAGAATGAAACAATTCACTAGAATGAATCAGATTTTTCCGCACTATGAGATTAAAAAAAAATCGTTTAGGATGAACCAGTTCACTAAAATAAACCAGATTTCCCAGTACCATATGAGAGAACTGTTCAGAATGAACTGATTCACTAGAATTAATCAGATTTCCCAATATAAAAGAGGGAGAATCATTTAGGACAAAGCACTTCACTATAATGAATTACATTTCCCAATACCACATACAAGAGAGAAAACCTTGCAGAATGGTCTTATTCACTAGAATGGTGATTCATAAACATAATGTGTCTTTTTTTTATGAGTGATAATATCTTACAATATATATCCTGAGTAAGCAATAAACATCATAACTTGGTAATAATCAGTAAACATTTGTATCTGGAATCCCCTTTGTGCATGTGTGTGTTGACACAAAGCAGACGGCTTCTATTTAGGAAGTAGTTGTTTTCCTCAGAAGAAATATCTGTAGGCAGCCTTCGCCGTGCCATCTGCTATAGCCCAAGCATCTGCTATGATATGAGAAGAGCTGCATGGATTCATCTGTTTGTTCCAAAGGGTTATTTGAACTCATTTCTGAGCTCTGTGATGAGAATGTAATTCAATCTTCTTACCGCCACGTCCACATAAATAGAGTTTAGTTCGCACAGCCAGCTGAAGATGAATTACAGTTCCCTGGACGATTAACCAATGGAAGAATGTGCATAAAGGAAATATGTTTTCAGTTGGACACTTTTGTGATTCGCACTCATGCGCTGAAATATAAATGCACCTTTGGAGTCCAGTGGGAGAAAAAAAGCTTGGCGGCCGTCACAAAAGATGTGCCAGTGTTTGAAAAGGGCTGAAATAATGAGGCCAAAAATATCCGACCTAGAGACATATTAGGATGTAATCAAGACCACAATGGAGAGGTGGGCATCCTTTGTGACTGATAATGATGGCTGCACTCATTTCATGCATGACAGTTGAGCTGAATGGCCGAGGAAAACCCTCTCCATTCACAACAGACCTCCTGAGGAGACTTAAAAATGCTTGTATGCTTATTGTATGGCAGCTTTCCTAATAGGCTACAGTACGTTTCTAGCTCTCTGTTTAGTAGTTGCATTGCTCAACATTTTTGGTGGCCAACCTGAAATATTTTTGTCAGGTTACCTACAAGGTGCTTGAGTTATAAAATGTAAAATGTAACATGAGTTTAATTGGGTTTATTCAAACCAATAATATTGATATTTATTATTTAAATAGTATTTATATATATATGTGTGTCTGTGTGTGACCCTGGACCACAAAACCAGTCATAAGGGTCAAATAGGACACTATTTGGCCGAGATACAACTATTTGAAAATCTGGAATCTGAGGGTGCGAAAAGTCTAAATATTGAGAAAATCGCCTTTAAAGTTGTTCAAATGAAGTTCTTAGCAATGTATATTACTTATCAAAAATGAAGTTATGATATATTTACAGTAGGAAATTTACAAAATGTCTTCATGGAACATGATCTTTACTTAATGTACTAATGATTTTTGGCATAAAAGAAAAATCTATAATTTTGACCCATAGAATGTATTTTTGGCTATTGCTACAAATATACCCCAGCGACTTAAGACTGGTTTTGTGGTCCAGGGTCACAAATATATATATATATATATATATTACTCCCAAAAGATAATTTAAAGTCATTGTTGTGTAAAGAATCAAACAAAAAACTAGACTAAAAACTTTTTTAAAAAGTAGCTTCAGCAAGAAATATTTAGTTTGATTCAACATAAAATGTATTACATATACTCTTTTGGACCATGAGGGTGAGTAAATGATGACAACATTTCTGGGTGGGTGAACTATACTTTGAATCATTTATTATTATTATGGAAATATGAAATTGTTTCATTAGTGAAATGATACTCTAAATAATAAACTAAAACTGCCTGTAGGTGGTGGTAAATGTCTTAATGATTAAGTCATCGAGTCATTTATTCATTCGATTCGTTCAAATGGCTGATTCACTCTGCGTTCCATTCGGAAGGGCTCATCTGTAATGGGGCTGACAAGATGTGAGACATGCGGATCCATGTGCAGGCTTTATTAAGCAGAGAGGTCAGAAACACAGGCAGGGTCGAACAAGGGCAAACAGGAATATGGCGGGCAAGACACAAGAATAATCCTAGGGCTAGCGAAGGTCAACGAATGGCGAACAGAGTCAAAAAAGGGGCAAGACTAAAGGGGTAATCCAGGAAAATAGGCGAAGATAAGAAACCGAGAAAAACAGGCAAGGAAGACTAGGCTAGGCTAGGAGTTTGACTGGAATGAATCAGACTTTCCTGAGCTACATATGAAATAGGACCATTTAGGATGAACCGATTCACTAGAAAGAATCAGATTTCCCAACACTACATACTGTATAGTATGAAAGCGAAAGAACCATTTAGGATGAACTGATTCACAAGAATGAATCAGATTTCCCAACACTACGTACAGCATGAAAGCGAGAGAACTGTTTAAGATGAACCGAATCATTTGAATGAATCAGATTTCCCAACACTACGTACAGTATGCAAGACAAAGAACCATTTAAGATGAAGTGATTCACTAGAATGAATAATAGTGTAAGACATACAGGAGAGAGAACTGTTCAGAATGAAACAATTCACTAGAATGAATCAGATTTTTCCGCACTATGAGATTAAAAAAAAATCGTTTAGGATGAACCAGTTCACTAAAATAAACCAGATTTCCCAGTACCATATGAGAGAACTGTTCAGAATGAACTGATTCACTAGAATTAATCAGATTTCCCAATATAAAAGAGGGAGAATCATTTAGGACAAAGCACTTCACTATAATGAATTACATTTCCCAATACCACATACAAGAGAGAAAACCTTGCAGAATGGTCTTATTCACTAGAATGGTGATTCATAAACATAATGTGTCTTTTTTTTATGAGTGATAATATCTTACAATATATATCCTGAGTAAGCAATAAACATCATAACTTGGTAATAATCAGTAAACATTTGTATCTGGAATCCCCTTTGTGCATGTGTGTGTTGACACAAAGCAGACGGCTTCTATTTAGGAAGTAGTTGTTTTCCTCAGAAGAAATATCTGTAGGCAGCCTTCGCCGTGCCATCTGCTATAGCCCAAGCATCTGCTATGATATGAGAAGAGCTGCATGGATTCATCTGTTTGTTCCAAAGGGTTATTTGAACTCATTTCTGAGCTCTGTGATGAGAATGTAATTCAATCTTCTTACCGCCACGTCCACATAAATAGAGTTTAGTTCGCACAGCCAGCTGAAGATGAATTACAGTTCCCTGGACGATTAACCAATGGAAGAATGTGCATAAAGGAAATATGTTTTCAGTTGGACACTTTTGTGATTCGCACTCATGCGCTGAAATATAAATGCACCTTTGGAGTCCAGTGGGAGAAAAAAAGCTTGGCGGCCGTCACAAAAGACGTGCCAGTGTTTGAAAAGGGCTGAAATAATGAGGCCAAAAATATCCGACCTAGAGACATATTAGGATGTAATCAAGACCACAATGGAGAGGTGGGCATCCTTTGTGACTGATAATGATGGCTGCACTCATTTCATGCATGACAGTTGAGCTGAATGGCCGAGGAAAACCCTCTCCATTCACAACAGACCTCCTGAGGAGACTTAAAAATGCTTGTATGCTTATTGTATGGCAGCTTTCCTAATAGGCTACAGTACGTTTCTAGCTCTCTGTTTAGTAGTTGCATTGCTCAACATTTTTGGTGGCCAACCTGAAATATTTTTGTCAGGTTACCTACAAGGTGCTTGAGTTATAAAATGTAAAATGTAACATGAGTTTAATTGGGTTTATTCAAACCAATAATATTGATATTTATTATTTAAATAGTATTTATATATATATGTGTGTCTGTGTGGACCACAGGACCACAAAACCAGTCATAAGGGTCAAATAGGACACTATTTGGCCGAGATACAACTATTTGAAAATCTGGGGTGCGAAAGTGCGAAAAGTCTAAATATTGAGAAAATCGCCTTTAAAGTTGTTCAAATGAAGTTCTTAGCAATGTATATTACTTATCAAAAATGAAGTTATGATATATTTACAGTAGGAAATTTACAAAATGTCTTCATGGAACATGATCTTTACTTAATGTACTATTGTGTGCTGTATGTAAAATGAGTGTTACCTTGGCTTTATTTGAAATATATATATATATATATATATATATATATATATTACTCCCAAAAGATAATTTAAAGTCATTGTTGTGTAAAGA